CCCACTCTGTCTCTGGTGAAGCCTCTCGCCGCCCCTGAGCCTCTGGCCTGTACCCCAGTTCTGTATGCACAAATAAATAAATCTTTAAAAAAAAACATTATGATAAAGGCCATTAATAAAATGGCATCATAGGCAGCAAGCTGGTAAACAAATATCGATCACTGATTTCTCATTACCTCTCGCGAGAACGTCCACTGTGGGGCACTTGGAAAACCCAGAAGCTGTAACTCCGAAGTTAAACTAGCCTACAGGCCTACTGCAGAAATGAGCTCAGGTAACCCCAGACTTCCACGAAAACAGTAGTTTGGGTGAGGAGGAGTCTGACGCCAATTCAGTCTAATTTCTTCCCGCTTCTGCGGTCTTGGAAGGCGACCACGGCTTTGTTCTAGAATCTTCCCACCCTGCCACCAGGCGGGCGGCACCTGCAGCGAGCCACACCGGAGCTCCCCTCGCTCTGAGAAGCGGTAGCAGGTACCGCCAGGCGCGGAGAGAAGGGGGGACGGCAGGCTGCACCCCCACGGCCGAGTCTGCACCCACCCCGCACGGACAGGGCTCCACACGCACGTGCGGCCCCCAGGGCTCAGCGCCGGCTATCTGGCCACGCCGGCTTCAGGGCCACCTCACGGGGCAGGTCGGACACCGGGCACTCGCACGCCACGCACTCACGGGGTGCCCTGCGGCTTCACGGCCTCCAGGCAGCTGGCGCTTTAGAAGATTTCTTAAAAACTCACCCGCATCGGGCCTCCCTGGGGGCGCAGGGGCTGAGTCTCAGCACTATGGAACTGCTGCAACCCCACCCCGGAGGGGACCCCCAGGGCGCAGCAGACGGCTCCGCTGACCCCTCAGCAGTGGGTTTCAATCAATCTGCCTGTTCTGCTCCCCACTCCGTCTCTGGTGAAGCCTCTCAGCCCCCACAACTCTGGCCTGTACCCCAGCTCTTGTATGCATAACTATATAAAGATCTTTAAAATGAAATCAACAAACAAAAACCAACCAGCATCCTGTCTCCACATCGCTGGGCTTGACCCTCCCTCCCTCCAGCTGTTCTGAGGCCCTGGTGACTCCAGGGGGAGCCCCTGAACCCCCACTCCAGGGGAGAGCCACCCAGCTGAGGTGCCATGCATCAGTCCTACCTGGGATTCCAGGGGGGCCCATCTCGCCTCGGAGGCCAACTCCAGGCGTACCTGAGTCACCTTTGGCTCCTCGCTCACCTGGTGAGAGAAATCGACACCTTTGGAGGTGGGGACCCGGGGGAGGACAGAGTGGGAACCCCCCACCCCCTGTGTCGGCCCATCCCGTCCGGGCTGCACACTGAGCACACACCACCCCTGGAAGCCCCCACCTGCGAGCCTCAGGGGGTGCAGCACATTCAGCTGCAGCTGCAGCGATGAAGCTGGGGTGCCGCACCCCAAGGCTGTCACTCCTCTGTTTAGTCTCAACTCAGAAGGGGGTACGGCTGTGGGGATTACTCCCTGGGCCCTGAGCAGTGGTGCTGGGAGTGGACAAGGAAGCGGAGGGAACCAAGAGGCACTCTTCCTGGGAGCCCCGTAATCTTGCAAAATCGTCAAGCCTGGCACCCTAAAACACGGAGCCCCAGGGCGTCGCTGCTGCGGGCGAGGCTGGTAGGAGCTGCTGCCTCGCGGTCAGCGTCACTGTCCTAGTGCCGCGCCATCCTCAGGGGCCCAGCGTCCACCTCCAGCTCTTCACTCACCTTTGGGGCCCACGGGTCCCGAGGGTCCTTCCAGGCCCCCCTGCCCGGGCCGTCCCGGCTCCCCCATGGGCCCTGTACGGCCAGGAAGCCCGTCCTTGCCGGGGGGCCCGGGGGGCCCAGGCCTGCCTTGAGCCGCCTTCACGTGTGCAGGGGGCATCTGGGCCAGGAGGTAGGCGAGCTTGGCTGTGGGGGAGGACAGACGGCTGGTGAGGGAGGGGACAGGACAGAGGGCGACACAGCCGCAGCTCGGAGCTGCGACACAGCGGCCAGCACAGAGCAGTGTGCGGACCGCACCCACACCCCCCCGCACCCGCACCCCTCACCCCTGCACGCCCCACGCCCGCACCCTCACCCCACACGCTACACACCCACACCCCCGGCACCTGCAAACCTCACCCCTGCACGCC